GCCCGGCACCCACACAGCGCCCGGCACCCAGCACCGCACCCAGTACCCACACAGTGCCCGGCACCCACACAGCGCCCAGCACCCACACAGCACCCGGCACCCACACAGCGCCCGGCACCCACACAGTGCCCGGCACCCACACAGCACCCAGCACCCACACAGCACCTAGAACCCAGCACCGCACCCAGTACCCACACAGTGCCCGGCACCCACACAGCACCCAGCACCCACACAGCACCCGGCACCCACACAGCGCCCAGCACCCACACAGTGCCCGGCACCCAGCACCGCACCCAGCACCCACACAGCACCCAGCACCCGTGCAGCAACCCATGCCCCAAGCAGTACCCAGCACCCCATGCAGCACCCAGTGCCCCCAGCACCCCCAGTACCCTCTGCACCCTGCGCAGCACTCACTGCCCAGTGTCCCCCAACACCCAGTGCCCCATGCAGTGCCCACCACCTGGGCAGCACCCAGTGCCCCCAGCACCCCCAGCACCCCCAGTGCCCAACGCAGCACCATGCAGCACCCCAAGCACCCAGTGCCCCCAGCACCCCCAGTGCCTCCAGGAGGGCACCCCAACCACCCACTTCCCCCAGCAGCACCCACACCCCCCAGTAGCCGCCACCCACCCCAGGGAGGACCCACAGCTCATGCAGCACCCACAGGCTAAAGCAGCAGCCACGTCCCCAGGCATCACCCACAGCCCCGGCAGCACCCACAGCCCCCAAAGCACCCACTCATGGACACCCATGTCCCAATCAGCACCCATGTTCCCGTCAGCACCCATGTCCCAATCAGCACCCATGTCCCTGTCAGCACCCATGTCTCCATTGCAACCTGTGTTCCCATCAGCACCCATGTCCCAATCAGCACCCATGTCCCCGTCAGCACCCATGTCCCCATTGCCACCCATGTCCCCGTTGGCACCCACATCCTCTTTGGCACCCATGTCCCCAGTAGCACCTAAAGCCTCCAAAGCACCCATGTCCCCTTTGGCCCCCACATCCCCCTCAGCACCCATGTCCCCAGCAGCACCCACACCCTCATTGGCACCCAGATCCCCATAGGCACCCAGATCCCCATGGGCACCCATGTCCCCATGGACACCCATGTCCCCATTAGCATGCACATCCCCATCAACACCCAGGTCCCCATGGGCACCCACACCCCCAAGAGCACCCATGTCCCCATCAGCACCCATGTCCCCATTGGCACCCATGTCCCCATTGGCACCCACACCCTCATCAGTATCCATGTCCCCATCGGCACCCAGGTCCCCATCAGCACCCAGGTCCCCATCGCACCCATGTCCCCATCAGCATCCCCGTCCCCATTGGCACCAATGTCCCCATTGGCACCCATGCCCTCATGAGCACCCATGTTCCCATCATCACCCATGTCCCCATGGCACCCATGTCCCCATGGCACCCACGTCCCCATTGGCACCAATGTCCCCATTGGCACCCACGCCCTCAT